TGCTGCTTCAAGCGCACCACAGGAGGAGGAGCAGCCAGCCGAGGAAGCGTCAGGCGCGCCCGCCGAGGGTGCAGCCCCTGGCGCACCGGCGCAGCCGCCCACACCTCCGAAGGCGCCGGCTCTTGGAATAAGGGGACCCACGTGGGACCTTTATTACAGGGGCCGGAGCGACCCACTGAGGCAGAGGAGGGTGCCAGCAGAGCCAGAACAGATCATTGAAGACACTGGCGCGAGAGCATCATCCGAGCCACCGGCTGCCGAGGGCGAGGTGGATCTGTCCAGAGCTGGCGGGAATCCGGTAGAAGATTCCCTGCGATCTGCCAGGCGCGTCCGCACCCCGCCGGCGCGGCGAGCGCAAGAGGAGGCACGCCTGGAGGAGCTTAGGCTCCGCGGCTCGGTGTTTGCCTCTTTTAGGGACGCCGAAGACGCGGAGCCTGAGCAGGCAGCCGGCGAGCAGGAGACCGAGGAGGTAGAGGTAGAGGTCGAGGTTGCCCAAGGTGACGACCGGGGTGCTGCCGAAGGCGCACCAGACGACGAGCCAGCAACCGAAGGCCGACAGGCAGAAGGCGCCGAGGAGGAAGAGGCAGCAGAGGAAGACGAGGCAATAGACGTGCACCCTGCCTCGGAGGCAACAGTTTCTCCAGCCACCTCGGGCCGCAGCCCCAACGCGAGAGATCCGTGTGAATCTTGGCAGGGGCCGGGGTGTGACCCGCAGGCCACTTATCCTTGCACCTCCCACCGAAACCTTCCCAACGGTTCGGGTTGATAGTCAGGGTGCTTGGGTTCGGGTTAGGGATTCCGGTGCGGTTCCCACCTTTCAGCGTCGTGCCGTGCCCCCCCCGAGGGTGCAGCGCACCGCGCACCAAGGGGACGCAGAAGAAGCCCTAAGTGCACCCGATCCGTTTGATCTGCCAGACGACGCGTGGATCGATCCCAGCTCCTACTTCTAAGGGCGGTGGGTTAATAAGTAGATACATAAGTTAGTAATCGATTGTACAGTTTAGTGGGGATGGCTAGTCTAACATAGCAATTGACCTAAGTGCAGTTAGCAAGGTACAATTACAGAAGTTAGCCAAACACAGTTAACGAAGTTAGCATTTTACTAACAGCACCTTAAAACCATGATGATGCCCATGAGGATGATGAAAAATCCAATGTCGCAATGCAGGGCGATTCGCTCGCAGGCAGGATCAGAACATGAAAATTGTGACAATTCATGTGTCGCCATGCAGGGCGATTCGCTCGCAGGCATATAGGCACAACAATCTTTTTTATGGCACGACCAGCATGCTGTCTGCACTCATGCGTTTGAAGAGGCAGGTTCGACTGATCTCGGCCACTCGCATGAACTGGGCTCCGTCCTGCTTGACCCGGAAGAGATTCTTCCCTTGTGGCTCAAGCACACTCAACAGAGCCAGGAGCTCGCCATGCTGCAACCGGCAAAACAACCACACCTCTGCAACGGACCCCGTCTTAAGCAGCACCAGGTCACCCCTCTCGCAAGTCTGTCCTGGGCAGACCTCGGCCTGCATGGCCGCCTGCACATGCTCAAGAGTCTGAAACCCGAATGTCTGCCCCAGGTGCCACAGCAAAGTGCCATCAGTGACAGACTTGGGGGACTTCAAATGGGGCCGCATGAAGCCAGCATGCTCAGACAGATCCAGAAGAGCCCTGCCCAAAACATCTTTAAAGAGTGAAGCTTCGAACCAGTCGGTCACTTTCTTCGTGTTGTCAGCAAACTGCTTCACTTGCCGATGCTTTCGTTCGTGTGTAAAACAGGAAATCAGAGGCCTGTCTCGAGCCATCAGGGGAAGATGGAGGCTATAGTGGAACTTCGGTATACAGTGCTGCTCTCCATATGCTTTAAGGAAAGCTTGGCTATGGGCCCGAATCGCATTCTCGAGCTCGTCCGGCGACAGGTTCCCAGTCCGATTGCATTCAAGCAGGAGGTCGAGAACCATACAAATCTTCATAAAGGATCGGATGCATCGCCGAAGTTCGTCGTCCATTGTGTCAAAGTGATGAGTCAGCAAGAAAAGCCGCAGCAAGGGATAGACAGTGATGCACTGCGAAGCCCCGGCCTTGAACTCAGAAGGTTTGCTCCTTTTGTCTAACAAATGCAAGATTTCTCTTCTCCGGTTCTTCAGGTTGTGAGGCCATTCGTACTCTGAGATAAAGCTCTGGATCACCTGAAATGTTGCACCCTGCACATGCAAGAGTGGCAAGAGTAAGCTCGCTTCCACGTGCAGGAGGCCGCTTACCACATAACAATGCATCCAATCCCACATCAAGCATTTCACAAGCGGCATGCTTTTGTGAGCAAGCACTCCAGATGGGTTAAAGTTCAACCCCATGCTGGACTCCAGCAAGGCAAAATCCTTTTTGCTCAGCATGGGTTGCCTTCTCGCCAGCAGTGCCTGTGCAGTGAAGATCTGATTGTCGGTTCTGCGGACAAACAGATTGCTGTCGATGCATGATATGTCATGCAATTCTCCCGAGTGGTCATTTGCTGTCAGATCACCGTGGGTCTTGCTTGTTATGTTGGCACATAGCGGGCAAACCAAAGTCCCACTGGAGCCCTTGAAGTCGTACATAGACTTCAAAGCTGCCTCGTCTGCAACTACAGTATGCAGTTTCGCGAAGAACATGACCCGTTCCCCGGTTGGCATGTTCAGCAAACAGCCCGACTGGAGGTTCAGGAACGATTCCGAGGAGACCAGAATGTGGGTGAGTGCAGACAGCCCGCCTTGGATCTTGTTGACCACCGAAGACCGAGTCAAGTTCAAAGGAAACCAAAGGTTTTCTTGGCATCGGCCTTCAGCATCAAACTCGAGAAAACTGAGGTAGTACCCTTGGATCTTCCTGGTGTTGCTGGCTTTTAGCTGGTTGCCAGGACTAATCTCATCATTGTATAAAGCCATGCGCCATGGGCTGGTTGCTGTGCACGGGTACTTCGATAGCTGCCTTTGGAAAAAGGCAGCTACACCAGGCATGGACTGGCAAACATGCCATATCCATGCCATCAGGTTGAGGATCGGCAGCTCTGTCGGCACGATCTTCACCTCCTCGTCTCCAGCTGCCTTTCGGCTCTTCACCTCCACAGGTACTGTAATCTTGGCCACCAAAGGGCCATGAGGAGTCTCTGCCTCCAGCTCGGAATCCCGTGCCCTTTTGATGCCTCGCCGGGAGGCTGAGTCAAGGACTTCAGGGCATGCAGCCACTTCCTTCAGTACTGCCTCCAGAGCACTCTGGCTCACATAGTGCTTTCTGCCGATGGTAGCGAGCGACATAGATTATAAAGATGGCTGCCCGCGAGCAAAATGCCCTGCAGGCACCGGATGTTAGAAGTAACAATTCTTACAATAAATATGTTTGTACATACAACATGTGTCAACCTGTCTATAAATCCTTGTCCCCACGAAACCTTCTTCAACACAACAAAAACCTCTGGATGCACGTATGATACAATGTATGCACACGATCTAATACAACTAATTTCTTATAATGGCTGGACTATATCTACCAATATATAATATCACGTATATATATATATATATAATATATATGTATATATATATATATGTGTGTGTAAGTATGTAATATACATACATATATATATATATATACATATATATATATATATATATATATACAGGAGATATTTATACTTGCAATGCAGCATCAGACCAATCTGCAAGCCGATCCGATCACTCAGGTTTACATGCTGCCTGGCAAGACACACACACATGCAGCAGAAGAGGCAACATGATGTGCATAAGTGCATGCCTGCATGATGATCTTTTCCTCCCTCTGTGCTGCAGTCGACGAGTTCCCCACTCATCGAGCCGGTCATTTGAATCGGGCAAGCAGCTATTACTTACAGAAGCAGCTGGGCCTGCAGCCTGGTGCGAATCTGCATTTGCTGCAACCATTCGGGCGAAGGCTCACCCTTTTCTTCATGGAAAGATTGGCATAGTATTCTCTGCTACCGGCCGGGGCGGCTTTGGCCTTTGCACTGGCCTTTGCACTGGCCTTTGCACTGGCCTTTGCAACGGCCTTTGCACTGGCCTTGGCACTGGCCTTACTGGCTGCCTTTGCTTTGGCATGGGCTTTGCCCTTTGCCTTTGCCTTGGGCAAGCCTGCAGGCTTCTTAAGAATCCCCTTCTTCTTGTTGACTGCATCTGCAACGAGCCCAGCCTGCCTCAACACTTCTGCCTCGTCGGCCTCGTCGTTTTCAGGATCACTCATCTCCAACTGCACTGCCGGCGAGACACCAGCTGATGCATTCGTTGCCGCCACAAGTGCTGTTTGCTGGACCGATGCAGATGCCCCTGCGGGTGCCTGCTGGGTTGCTGCTGCAGGTGCCTGGGTTCCTGCTGCAGGCCCCTGGCCCATGGTGGTTGCCCCCGCTTGACCTCCACCGGGTGCGAAGTACTGCATGTTCGGGATCGGGTCCTGCTGCTGCCTATTCTGGTCCTGCATGAGCCTCTGCATCATGTTGTTCATGGTGTTCATCATACCCATCATCGTCATCCCGGGCTGCATTCCTTGCAGGCCCATGTTGAATTGCATGTTCATGGGGTTGTTGTTGCCACTTGCAGGCCAGCTCTGCATGCCACCGGCACCCATGTTTCCACCACGAAGCTTCTTCGAGCTCCCTCTCAACACGATTGCAGATGATGCTGCCTGCACCCTGTCGGGAGACTGCATCTGCACAGTGCATGCAGGATCCTCTTGAGAGTATGCATCGGCGAGCTCAGGGGGCAGATTGTCTGGCGATGCTGGATAATGCTCGAGGTGAAAGCCATTCTTGGGCAAGCCTTTGGCTTTGCTTTTCAGCATTTTCTTGAACAACTGCTTGTTGGCATAGCTGTCAACCGCCCCCACATCACCGCCTGCCCTGGCCAAGCCAGCTGCCAAGATCGCTTTGCAGCAAGCCTCAGATGGGCAGGTGAGCCTCAGCTTGATGCACCGGCATGCCAAGACATCCAACTTCACGTGGATGTTGTCACCAGCTTCCAAAGCCTGGATATCTTTGACGGACAGGTAAGGTTCGAAAGCATCAACTTTCTGAGTAGCTCTCTTGCCACCCTGACCTGTCCCGGTGTTGGTTCTAGCTACTGCTCCAGCCAAGAGATCACTGAACTCCTTTGTTTGTGGAGAAGTCCATTGCTTTCCTGCAGTCCATGCAGCCAGCAGGGCTGAGGCTCCATTTGCATCCACGGAGGCAAGGTTCTTCACTCGCTGGCAAAGGGCTTTTGCTTGCACCTCTCTAACACTGTCGTAGTTCGGGAGTGCAGTCATGGACTGGAGAAAATTGGCTGTAGCAGCCAAATCCCCCTTCAACTGATCCATGGCTGTGGCAGCAGACATGTCGATCTGTTTGCGAGCTTGAAGCCCTGCAACCGATCTTTGCAATCAATCCTTTTGAGCCTTGCTTGGACATATCGGCGGGCCAGGTTCGCGAAATTTTGGATTCTCTCTCTCTCTCTCTCTCTCTCTCTCTCTCTCTCTCTCTCTCTCTCTCTCTCTCTCTCTCTCCCCTCTCTCTCTCTCTCTCTCTCTCTCTCTCTCTCTCTCTCTCTCTCTCTCTCTCTCTCTCTCTCTCTCTCTCTCTCTCTCTCTCTCTCTCTCTCTCTCTCTCTCCCTCCTCTCTCTCTCTCTCTCTCTCTCTCTCTCTCTCTCTCTCTCTCTCTCTCTCTCTCTCTCTCTCTCTCTCTCTCTCTCTCTCTCTCTCTCTCTCTCTGTTTCTGTCTCTGGCTTTTGCTTCTCCTTCTCCAAAGTATATATATATATATATATATATATACATATACATATATATATATATATACATATGTATATACATATATATATATACATATATATATATACATATATACATATATATATATATATATGATAGTTCCGTATACAGACTAGATACACCCGGACATGATTTGAAGTTGTT